CCTAAACCGTTTCACCCCACCCCCCCTTACGCCACTAAATCGCATACGTCACATACATCGCATCGCATCGCATCTCCAAAAGTTCTCACAAGGTTCCTTCTTCTTCGCCTGCCCCTCTCTGTGCGCCTCGGCTCCGCACAAAAATACCTACGAGGTACCCAATCAGGTACCGGGACAGGTGTCCTACCATCGTATTGCCATTGGCGGGAGCCTTTTTTTTATACCTCTTTTTAGGGGCTCCCCCCTCCCATCCTAAACTACTCGCTCAGCATGGTCCGCATCATCCCCGGACGCCTCAAGTCCAGCTCTTCCGTTGCCACCAGCCGTAGCAGTAGTCCGCTACGAACGAGCAACAGGAACATATCCAAAATGCCGTCCGAATTGGGCTCTAAAGACAACGGCCTGGCGCTGAAGGTTGTCATTCTTAGGGTATGTCGTACCCCCTCCCCTTCTGCCCCCAGTCTTGTCCGGTGTCTTGAGGGGTTACTTTCATGGCAGCAGCAAGTTTCTCTCGCCATAAGTGCCACGTGAACGCTGACAGCTCTTTCGTAAACAAGGCCCGTGATCTAGCTGCCAAAGACAGAAGTGGAACCTCAGACCCGGTATGTACGACGGTCCATTGACAGACAACACGTCGTCCATCTGATCTGATTATCCCCCCAAGTCTACGTCCGAGCGAGCATCGCACTGACTCAGAAGGCGAAATGTAGTTCTTGGTACTTACCCTTGGTGATGCCCGAGTCGTCACCAACGAAGTCCCCAAGACCCTCAACCCCGAATGGAACGTTATTGAAGAATTCCCGGTCAGCTCGCCTCAGTGCCTTCTCCTCGACGTAATATGCTGGGACAAGGACCGCTTCGGAAAAGACTACATGGGCGAATTCGACGTCGCCCTGGAAGAGATATTCGCCGACGAGAAACCCGAGCAGGAGCCCCGCTGGTATCGTCTTAAGAGCAAACGCCCCGGCAAAAAGACCAGTGTCGTCTCCGGCGAGGTCCTTCTGCAGTTCACTCTGATCGACCGATCGAACCCTACTGCCACCCGGGAGCAGATCTTTGAAAAATTCTCCGCCCTTGTCACACAGGTGCCCGACGGCTCTGGCTCTGGCAATGCGACGCCGCTCGCCACCCCCTCTCTCGCCCCGGTCAGAGCGCCATTGAGCGAACATGGCTCGCGATCTCCGCCTCTTGTTCGTGAGACTACTCTGGACGATGACGATGACGACGATGAGGAGGATGACATGGATGGCGACTCGAGTCTTTCCGACGCCGAAGATCCGACCAAGCCAGAGTCCATCGAAAAAAGAAAGCGGCGTCTGAGGATCAGGGGCCTCAAAAGGAGGAAGAACAAGGGCGGCAACTTGTACGAGTTCAATAATAACGGAAGCGATGTCGTTGGCGTCATCTATCTCGAGATCCAACATATTACCGACTTGCCCCCGGAGCCCAATTCCACCCGTACGACGTTCGACATGGACCCGTTTGTCGTTGCGTCCCTGGGCAAGAAGACGTACCGAACGAAACGCATCCGCCACAATCTGAACCCCGTCTTCAACGAAAAGATGATTTTCCACGTCCAGAGCCACGAGCAATCCTACTCTTTTTCCTTCACCGTCATCGACCACGACAAGTACTCCTCCAACGACTTCGTTGCCGACTGCACCCTTCCCATCCGAGAGCTGATCGACAACGCTCCCAAGGCAGATCCGGAGACTGGTCTGTACCAGCTTCGCGAGCCGCCGGAGCAGTCTTCTGTCGCCCAGCGGCCGTCGCGTTTCCGCAAGCTCGGCATGGCGCGGAGCTCCTCTTCCCAGAGCCTGAGCAAAATCATACGGCCGACCCTTTCGAAGACGGGCAGCTCCTCCTCGGGCATCACTCAAGTCGCGAACACGAACCCAAGCACTCCTGCCGAGCCGCACTTGGCCAGCCAGGAATACCTGAGCCCCGAGCACGCGGCCATCGCAAGCGCCAGCGCTGATTCGGCCAGCCCCGACGGCGACGAACTCCAGTTCATCGAATATCAAATACCTCTGAAATTGAAGTACGCCCACAAATGGGAGGGGAAGCACAGCCCGATGCTCTATCTCCGCGCGAGGTACGTCCCGTACGCGGCCCTGCGGCAACAATTCTGGCGGTCTCTTCTGAAGCAGTATGACACGGACGAGAGCGGCCGTATCAGCAAGGTAGAGTTGACGACGATGCTGGATACTCTCGGCTCCACGTTGCGTGACTCAACCATCGACAGCTTCTTCCAGCGTTTTCCTCACAAGGCGCACGGCGAGCCGGATGATGATATCCATGACCTGACGATGGATGAAGCTGTCATCTGCCTGGAGGACCAACTAGACGCCAAGAGCCGACCTCACTCCACTCTGGCCGAGAAAGTCAAGGGGGCTCTGCCAGAGGCCGACAGGGCCAAGAACAAGCTGCCGACGCTGCCGATTGTGGGCGGCAAGGAGAGGCAGCAGCAAAGCGAATCTTTTCAGGGCGTCAGTCTCGCGGACTCTGATGCGGCCCTCACGTCCGATTCGACCCTAGCGATGCCCGAACTCAACACTCATGGCGAGGAAGGAGACGTGCTGGACAGGGACGATCTCGCAGCCGACCGCAGCGGGGAGGAGCATGTGGTGGAGATCAGAGAATGTCCCATCTGCCACCAACCCCGTCTCAACAAGCGCAGAGACGCCGATATTATCACGCACATTGCGACCTGCGCAAGCCAGGACTGGCGTCAGGTCAACAACTTAGTTATGGGCGGGTTTGTCACGTCGAGCCAGGCACAGCGCAAATGGTACTCCAAGGTCATCACCAAGATCTCATACGGCGGCTACAAGCTCGGGGCCAACTCGGCCAACATTCTCGTGCAGGACCGAATTACGGGCCAGATCAATGAGGAGAAGATGAGCGTCTACGTCAGGTTAGGCATCCGGCTGTTGTACAAGGGTCTCAAGTCCAACAGCATGGAAACAAAGAAGAGTAAGTTGATTACCCAACCAACATCCGCTGAGACGGTGCCGGGCGACGCCCTCGTTTCCTTTCCTTTCTTCTTCTTCTTTATTTTTATTTTTTATGTTGATGTTGCTTCTTTTTGTTTCCTCCCACCGTGTTAACAAGAACTTCAACAGTCCGCAAGTTACTGCGCAGCATGAGCATCAAGCAAGGCAAAAAGTACGACGACCCAGCCTCCAAGGCCGAGATCCCCAAGTTTATTGCATTCCACCGTCTGGACTTGTCGGAAGTCCTCCGTCCCCTCGAGGAGTTCAAGAATTTCAACGAGTTTTTCTATCGGGCGCTAAAGCCCGAGGCTCGTCCTTGCTCGGCGCCCGACCACCCCGGCATCGTGGTGTCCCCGGCCGATTGCAGAAGCGTTGTCTTCAATTCGGTAAACCAGGCCACTAAGATCTGGGTCAAAGGTCGGGAATTCTCCGTCAAACGCCTGCTGGGCGACGCGTATCCCGAAGACGCCAAACGGTATGAGAACGGTGCGGTGGGCATCTTCCGTCTGGCGCCTCAGGACTACCATCGCTTCCATATTCCCGTCGACGGAGTGCTGGACGAGCCAAAGCTGGTCGCGGGCGAGTACTACACCGTCAACCCGATGGCAATCCGGTCCGCCCTGGACGTGTACGGCGAGAACGTCAGGGTTCTGTGCCCTATTGATAGCGTGACGCACGGGCGCGTCATGGTGATCTGCGTGGGTGCCATGATGGTGGGAAGCACCGTGATCACCCGCAAAGGCGGCGAGCAGGTCAAGCGGGCCGAGGAGTTGGGGTACTTCAAGTTTGGCGGCAGCACCATCGTCGTTCTGTTTGAAGAAGGCAAGATGCAGTTTGACGACGACCTGGTCGAAAATTCCAACGGCGCCCTCGAGACACTGGTATGTGAAAAGATGCCGTCCCCCCCCCCCCCCTTTTTTTTTTTTCCCCCTTCTCCCCTCTTCCCCCTCTCAGGGATGGTCAGGACCCGTGGATGGTGAACTAACAGGCTTTGGCAGATACGCGCGGGCATGTCGATCGGTCACTCGCTTGACGAGCCTCAATGGACACCCGACATGCGCAAAAACGAGGAAGACATCACCGAAGCCGACAAGAAGGACGCCAAGCGCCGCATTCAAGGTAGTGCTCTTGACGAATCATCGAGCGGCGACGACACGCCTGCGGCCGTCCCCGAAAGCGCCATGGCCGCCTCCGCGGCCACCTAAAGCTGTGTCTCTCTTGCCCATCATCCTAAAGGAAGATGCAGGCACGATTTCACGGGCAAGACACGGAATAGATCAAAGGCCACAGAGGGGACAAAATAAAGGACAAGGGAAAAGGTGGGGGCATTGAATCGAAACAACCTCATCAATAGCATGGGTTGTATTTGGAGGGTCCTAGTTCTCATCTGCCGAGTTTGGCGGGAAGCGACGAGCAAGCGTGCATAGCGACGAATTCGGTATAGAAAAGTGCAGCAAGGGAGTAAGTAGTGCGCACGGTGCATCGGAGGTCGGAATTCAACATACGAGGTAAAAGGTGGTCACTCTGAGCAGGATTCTTTCCAGGCCCGGTATATATATAGGGACGGGCTGATTCTACGCATACACGGAGAGAGTGCGAAATAAGTGTACCTATTTGACTGCTGCGCATAGCTTACTCGGTAGTCATAAATCACAAGGTCATCGGTGATTTTGGAGAGGAGGATAAATCCCTTTCGTTGAACCTTCATAGCGGTGCCCCTGGTGGAACGTTCACATTGAGGTATTGGGAGATATTCGACCCTTGTCTCGGCCACGGCGGTTTCTTAGGAGGGTCGCGCAATCGCACGTCATTTCACTTAAGGTAGGTAACGAGAGGCAAATTAATCCCAATTCCGGGCACCAAGCTTATGCCCAAGTAAAGTAGTACTAGTAATTAGTAGCTTGACAGTGCGCGTATTTCGTTCGGCCTTTCTCCTGCTCCCCCCTCCCCCCTGGCGCGGCGTGAACCTTGCATCCCATCCCCCAAGGCTAATTAATGTTAAAGTCGAGATGACAGGAGTCTAGACCAGGTAGTAGATGGTGCATATGACACCAGGACCCCAGGACCCCTCCCTCGACCCGTTGCGTTGACTTTCAATTTCATATCCCGTAGGTGTCTTGGCGGAAAGCTGTGTGTGGCTCGTTTTAATCATGACATGGTTGCCATGAAGGGCTCCGATGGCGCGATTCGATTCAGTGGGAGTGTGTGTTGATGAATTAGACGGAGCAACATCTCGACATCTCATGACGAGTCTTGTCATCACCACGAGGCAGCGATGCGCGTTGTCCTGCAAGAGAGGGAGGCCCGGGGAAAGGTGATCATGTCGTTTCGTGTCGTCGTTACCCCGTCCGCGGTGCGACGGGTCGATATGGGAAAAAAAAAATTGTTTAGGATGGGCGTGACGCTTGGGATTCGCTGTTCCGTTTTTCCTTCCCTTGATGGTAGAGCCGCTGAGAAGAGAGAAAGACAAAACCCTCCATGAATCCCGGATCTGTTGTGGCAAGCATATATATATACATGCCCTCGATGGTGTGTTTGCAACTTCCATTTTGGTCCATTCCTCCTCAACCTGACTCATAGGCCATGAGCCAGGTTGGGGGGGCCGAGGTTTGTGATCAAGAGACAGCGGTCACTTTTCGTCGTTCCAGGAACTAGAGCTTGAGGACCTCCTCATGGATGAGAAGCTGGGAGATTCGCTGCGGTCGCTGTCCATGCTGCGCTTCTCCTGGGAGGGCGACGGAGTTCGCGTGCTTGACGAGGAGGCGGAAGGGGAAGAAGGGAAATAGGCGGACATGTTGGGAGCATGAACGGCTGGTGATGGAATGGTCGTTTCCGGAGAGCCGTGGCGGGTTTGACGCCAGGAAGAGTAGATTTGCTTGCACAGATGTGCGGACATTGTGTATGTGGGTGCCATGGCGGAGGGTGGTGGTATGGGATTTGGCGTGTAAGTGTGTATTAATGTTGGGAATAGAAGTTGGCGAAGGTTTTACTGGATAGTACTTCCTCTTTTTGACCTGAGACCCGAGTACTGGACTGATGGAAATAAGTGAGTCGAGGAAAAGGTCGTGGTTTCTTTGCTTGGAAGTGTTGGGAGACAAGTTGAAAACGAGGAAGAGGAGAGACGAGAGACGAGAGACGAGAGACGAGACGAGAGACGCCATTCTTTATTAAAGGACGACAGATATACGTACCAGCGTCCCCCAGAACCTTTTATCTCCAAGTCCAGAGCTTACGGATACCTTCGCCTCAACTTACAACGTACTTTGTCCTTCACAAATCCAATGGCATGGTGTCCGGCGGGCTACAATTCGGATATTCTTCTTCCACATTCACCCCATCGAGACTCTCCTTGGTACTAGAACACACTACCGATGGCGTCAAAGGACCGGAGAACCGTACGGTGCCTGGGGAGGTGAGAAAGCAGGGTGGCCTCTGGGCCAATGACAGGAAAGGCATTGTAAGATTCGCAATTTCACGAATAGATGATTGGTCGGATATTACGGAGCCGAGAGGGCCTGGCCGTGCGATTTCAAGCCTGCGGCTGTGGGAAATGGCACCACCGACTTAGTCAGAGAAAGCTGCGTATGTACACCGTACGTATGTTATGTACTGAGTAGTTACTTGCAAGAACCTCAGTGGAACGATCTAAGCAACATGCCCTGGTCTTGTGCAACCTCATATCGAAAAATCAGGTGGTCAGCTGCAGAATTGTTGAGACGGGGTAGCTTTACGGCGAATGGTATTTGAGATGTGCCTACCTTACCTAAGGTACCTACCTGAGGTGAGCAGGAGGTTATGCGAACGCGACCTCACCGAAATGCGAAGTTACAGCACACGGACTACGGACTTGGACGACTGTTTGGGTAGGCTTGCGGAAGCAACTGTTTGAAACGCATGGTTACGATCAAACGTACTACTTTAGTGCATCCACCTGGGCGCAGTAACAAAGAATATGCGAAAGCCGAGTGAGAAAGAGAAGCACGAGTACGGACAAGGAAGAGTGAAAAGAAGAATACATATCATGTCTTGGGGAGGTGGCCCCCTTCTTTTTGTCCTTTTTGGCAACTTGGCCTCGAGCTCTGCGGAACATTGTTCCGCCCAGGATCGGCACGGAACCTTCTTTTTTCTCTTCTCTTCTTTTTCTCGGATCTACGAAGTACGTTGTAGCCACTATGCCTAAGAGCGTGTGTCTTCGGAACTTGGGGAGTCGGGACACGTTGCCCACCGACCGAATACACGTAAAGAGAAGGCGATGTATTCGTACTTTGTCCCAAGTTCGAATACACTGTACAAAGCAGACCCCTTCCTTGTCTGGTTGTCTCATGACTCCCGTGCCCAGAGGGGGTGGCGTACCGTTGTATGCAGTGCGTTGTACCTCCTCCCCTCCTTTCCGTAGGGCAGAGCTCTTTGCATGCCAAGGTTCTTCCCCGCTTTCTGAAACGCCAACGCGGACTCCCCTGGGGCCTAGGGCACGGAACCGGAATCGGGTACCACCCGAGGCAATTACAGACACGGATATTTATCTGTAGTCCTGTATCTTATTATAGCACTTCCTTTGATCTTCAGATCTTCATAGGTTGCGGCAGACATACGACCAGACCACACGCCAACATGGCCCATCGCCCATGGCCCATCGCCCATCGCCTGGTGCTCGAGAAATCAGAATCTCCAGCTTTTATACTTCACATTCTCGTTTCGCGCAACTCGGAATAAATGGGCGTGGCTGGTGGAAGTAGTAGTGTTCCACCTACTCCGTATATTCCTCATCGGGAACCTTTCAACCCCCAGCTAACCCAACCCACCACTCCTGATCCGTATGCACCAACACGCAGGTGTTTCTTGCCACTGAGGCATGGCCAACACATCAACAAGCTGCACCGTGCACCCCTCTACTTACCTTCGGTCCTCTCACCTCTCAGGGCATTATGTATACATACCCTTTGTTGCTACGAGGCTTGCATATCTTGCGCATCCCCGACGCATCACCGAGTTTACTATTGCCACTGAAACTCGACTTTCCTTTGCCATGCGGCGGGCGCAACCATCTCGTTGACTTTGACCACCCGTTGCTGACCACCCACCCGTTTCTTTGCTTTCTTTTCCCTCGTTCATGCTTCCCGCGTCCCCGTATTCCCCGCCCTTGAGATTTTCCCACTGCATGAATCCGTCCACCGCACCAAAAGGCGAGCCCAGGTCGTTGGCTCAGCCTCAGTTTCGACATCCGTCTCCATGATCTTCCTTTAGCTGCATCTTTCCTCCTCGGATTTGCCCCTGAAGCCCCGTACATATGAAAATAATGAGACTCGTCTCACGTCTCAGGTTGCACATTGCACATACAAGACTGGACCCTTGACCCGGATTCTCTTTCTCGGCCGGGATTTTTTATTTATGTTTTATTTGTTCATCTCTTCTTTGACCAATATTTCTCGTGGCCCTAATCTCCCATTCATCATATGTCTTATTAACTGGATTTGAAAAGGTTCCATTCGGTCCCAAGTCCTAATTCAATCTTCTCTCACTTGGCCAACTCATATTTCCCTTGCAACACATCACCACGACCACAGTGAATGGGTGGTATATCACTACTTCTCGGTTTCTTCCCGCGACAGACGAACGGCACGTTTTGAAGCTTCGGAACCAAAACTCTTGGCTTGAGACCTCCCCATGTCCATGATCGCGGAGGTCGCTTCTCGCAGTTGGAAGTTTCGCCGGCAATGGACGGAATCTTTTCGTCTCCCAGTCACCGCCACTCAAGAGACCGGCACACGAGAGACGACGACTCTAATCATAATCAGGCCGACAAAAGTAGCGCCGCCACGGAACAGCCGTCAATAAGCCATCATAGGCAGACCATCCAATGGCCTTTCGTTCGAAGTCCAAACGACTCAGAGTCGGACACCTCCATATCCTCATTCCGTCCACTCCACTCCACTCAGCATACCCAGTCCCGCCGAGCTACATGGCAGGGCAACAGGCCTAATTCGGCCGGTACTATCCTGGACAGCATCGTGCCTGACTATATCATCAATTACCTTCGAGGGGAGACCCCGGAGAGTGTAGCGCGTCGAATAGAGGAACGGCGACACCCGAACCCCGAGGACATTGCCGCTCAGCTCCGCCGTACCGGGGGCTTCTACGACTCGGACTCGCCCCATGACCAAGCCAGGAGAGCGATGTCGCCGGCCCAGCTCGAAAAGGCTGCTCCGAACGACGATGGTCACAGAGCACGCGGGCTCCGCAGGTGGATTATTGGATGGAAGGGTGGTGTCATTCTGAACGCTGCCACCGGAGCCTTGATCCTCCTTCCTACCGTTGTCTTCTTTGTTACCGCCCTGTCCAGGCATCAGGGGGGGGAAGCTCGCCTACTTGAAGGTTCCTGCGAGCTGGTTCGGAGGCTCGATTTCGGTCTCCATGCCGCCCTCAACTTCTTTGTCGTGGTCGTTCTCATGGGCGCCAACTACGCCTACCAAGTCCTGACCAGTCCTACCAGGGTCGAGGTGGATATGGCCCATGCCAGGAAAAAATGGCTGGATATCGGAATCCCGTCGCTGAGAAACCTGGCTTTCGTTGCGAAGAGGCGTGCTGTGTTGGCAACAACCCTCTTGGTGGCTGGTGTTGTTACTCCCGTAATGTGAGAGCTTCACGACGACGATCCTTTTGTCCCTTTACAACCCCAGACGACAGGACAGGACTGCCAATGCTGACCAACATGCAACAGGTATAATGCTGTGATTATCACCAAACACTTCGTTCCAGCGCATTCTATTCTTGTTGTCGCCGAATCCTTCCTGGACGGTGCTCCTTTCAGCAATGCCACCACCCATAACGGTGCCGGCCTCGACCGGTCAGATATTCTGGCCTTGCAGGATAGCGCGCAACAACAACAACAACAACAACAACGACAACAACAACAACCTAATACGCTCACCAATCTTACTACCGCCGACTGTCTCGACTCGCTCCGGAATCCGGTGCAGGTCGAGTTCGAGGCAGTTCTGCTCATCGTCGACGTCAGTCCGCCGTCCAGCTCACTCCTAGAAACCCTTGCGCCGGCGTCCGCCCTAGCCGGCCGTATGGGGCCCAACACCCTCCGTCTCCCCGTATCCCCCGATGGCTACCCGATACAGTATTGTCTTGCTCAGCTTTCCACTGCCCAGCCAACCTGCGCCCTCGACACGAACGATGCAGCCCTGGGCACAGTCACCCTGCTCATCCTCACCATCATCGTCGCCGGGGCCTCCATCCTCGCTTCCAAATCCTTCCAGCCCCTGGCAACCCTCGGCGATGCCCTCTCCTCTTTTCTGGAGAGGAGAGACACCTCCACACATGGTGCCTGCCTCCTGACGAAATCCGAAATCAAACAAGGCCGCTGGGCCTCGCGGGAGGCGCGGTATTATTCACCTCGAACCCACCGCTGGTTTCAGACCCCAAGTGCCGCTCGCTGGATCCTGTGGTCTCTCTCCTGGGTGATGCCCACAGGTCTCGCTGGTGCCGCCCTCGGGTTTAGTCTTCGCAACGCAAACGGCGGGCTTGACAACCCTCTCAATATCCTCCCATCTGCTTCGGCAACACCATCAGCCACGACGGCTACCTGGACCATCTTTCTAGATCCCGCAATCCCCGTTCTTGGCCTCTCCCTCCTTTCCGCCCTCCCGCATCTACTTTTGGGAATCCTCTACCTCTCCACCAATGCTCTGCTCTCGACCTACTTCCTCTCTCACGAGCTGAGCGCCTACGCCACCCCATTTGCCTTCCTCCCCTTCCGCACATCGGCGCCCAATCCGCGTGACGCGCAAACCACTTCCCTCTTCTTGACCCTCCCACGACCCTACTCCTGGCTCCTCCTCTTCCTCTTCGCCCCTTTCTCCATCTTTCTCTCCGCTTCCCTCCGACCCGTGCTCACGGTCTTCTCCTCCCCGACAAAGACGACAACCTCAACCCAACAGCAACATGATTACCATCTGCCCTCTCTGGTAGCAGTCCCAACATCCATCCTCGTGGTCCTCTCCCTCCTTTTTGTGATCCTCGGAACCGTCGTCCTCCTCGGCTTCCGTCGTGCCGACTCGACCCCTGCAGCGCATGCCGACGGTGCCCCCGCCGGTAACCCGCTCGTCTTACCGAACGGTTCCTGCTCTGCCGTGATTTCCTCGCGCTGCCGCCGCATCCCCGGGGACAAGGACGCCGCGACTGGCAAGGCGACGTGGGGCGTCATCCGCGCCGCCACGAGGATGGAGCCTGGCTTGACGGGGTTTTACACCAGTGGCGTGGAGAGGGTCAAGGTGGGTGAGGGATATGCATGAGCTACGGTTTTACTTTTCCCCTCCTTTTGCTCTTAGAAACGGCCAAGACTACATGTACCTCAACAGGCCTCAAGCTCTTACAGATAGATGGGACGGACGAATGTCGGTTGGACCTGGTAGGCATTTGGATCATAAAGAGATGGATATACCCCCGGTAGAAGTAATGGAACATGAAAGTTGCACACCTTTGTGTAAGTTGTAATAGTTTCACCGAGCACAGCACATAAGCAGACAGACGAACCAGGACAGAGCCAAAGGCCGGAGAAAAAGGCCTGAAGAAGTAAAAGAGACCATTTTACAGAGTGATTATAGGGGTCACAACATGGGTGACATACAACCAAAAATCCCCACTCCTTTTATACTCGGAATTCATGATCCATACACATTAAAAGTCCGTTATGTCTGCATGCAGCACAGGTGAGAAGAACACCATGTCCACAGACTTCTTCTCCAAAAAGGCCCATGTCTCCCATGTTCCGATTTAGTCTAGTCCCCCAGGTCGCTTTGATGCTCCATGCCCATCTCATGCTTCGTGATCGATCTCCTTCGTTAGGTTCCTGGCAGTTTCTGGTGCAATCCCAACAGCAACTGCTTCACAGTGCCCATGAGACGCGTCTCGAGCACCTCGTGGTTCGTCTGCTTGGGCCCATCCGGCGGGCTGCCATCTTTGGGCGATGGCCTCGGCGCCACTATGCTGGCATCGGCTAGACCGAGCACGCGATCGAGAGCCGATAGTGCTACGGCTTCGGCCCTGTCTTCGCCGACGGACGCCTTGAGCGCGTTGACGGACACGTTCTTGAAGCCCACCAAGGCATTCAGTACCTTGGGGTCGAACACGGACCCCGGCGTGTTCGGTTTCGCAGCCGACGCGTCTCCCGGGGTGGGGCTCTTGCTCTGGCCGCTGAAGCCGTCCAGCACCTTTTGAATGCCTCGCATACAAATCTCCTCCATGGCCGGGTTTTCCGTCGCCGCCGTCTTGAGTCCAAGGCATCGGTTCAAGGCAGACATCACGATAGCCTCGGCTTTGGGGTTCTTCGCCTTTTTCAGATTCTCGATAAGGCCGTTCTTCAGGCCCACGACAGAGCGGAACAACCGCGGGTCGATGACATGGCGTGGCTGCGCTTGAACAGGTGGGGTCTGCGTGAGACGGGTCGCGGCTGATGCGGGATGTAACCCGGCGCTCGGATTGTGGGGAGGCGCAGATACCATGGCTGTTCCGGTGGCCTGGGGTGCATGTGCTGACGGGACAGCAGGCGTCATTCCCGGCGTGGTCCCGTCTTCTGCCTTGATCCCGATGTTCGTCGGGGGAGGTCTTGATGCATACGGAGAGCTGTACGTGGATGCTTGCGGGACAGGAGACGGTCCGTAGCCGGGAACTTGCGCCGGGGCAACGGGGTGTGCCACGGGTTGGGCAGGCTGTCCCGGTGCGGGAGCTGTCGCCGGAGGCGAGTACTGCGGTGGTCGACTGCCTTGTGGCTGTTGTGCAGCACCGTATACTTGACTGTGGTATCCCTGAGGCTGCTGGGGCTGGTAGCCTTGTGGACCAGGCGGCAAGTGGGGAGCCCCGGCGTATTGGGGATACATGGTATGCCCGTAAGCGGTATAGGCCGCCTGAACGTTGCGATCGGGAGATGTCTGCTTGCGCTTCTTGCCTGCGTCGAGCTCTACCCCGGGTACTCTCGACCACAAGCCGGTCGTCTCGTCCTTTTTGAACGCGTCGTTGCCAATAAGATTATGACGAACACTCGACTCCCAACCTTTGGTCTCTGTGTGAAAGTAGAACCACGGATACTTCAAGGTGATCCGCTTGTAGATCTGCTTTAGAGTAAGACCTTCGGTACGCCCTTCTGCATGGGCAGCGGTCAATGTCTCGTCGATTAGCACACCGTAGTTCTTGTTCGGCTTTTGGAGTTGTTCCTCGGTATAGTCCTCGATCTTGAGCTCCAAAGGGGGTGACTTGGGGCGGGCCTTCTTATCTTTCTTCTCCTTCGCCCGAGTCTCTGCGTCGGATCCTTCTCCGCCCTCCTCCTTAGACCTTCTCGGTTTGTACTTGCGCTTTTCCTGTCGCTCACTCCCGTCTTCGGGGAGCGGGTGTTTTCTTGGCCTCCCGACTTTCCTTTTCAGCGGTGGCTCTCCCGGCGATGGTTGTGGCAGTGTCTTCTTCGCCATCTCCTGCTGCTGCTTCTTCAGCAACCGTTGTTCTCGCTTGGACATGATTCCATTCTTGGGCGGCCGACCAGGCCCTCGCTTCTTGGGTATCATCGGGTGTAGTAGTCCGTGCTCGAGTAGATGTTCGGGTGCCAGGTGACCTAGTTCGGACATTGCGGTCGCCGATTCGGCACGGGCTTCGGTTCCTGCACCGATAGCGACACCAAAACCAGCATCCACACCCGCACCCGCACCCGCACCCACACCCACACCCACACCATAACCTCCAGCAGGGCCTGCACCCGTATCGGCACCGGCACCGGCACCGGCACCGGTCTCTCCAAGCGGTCTGGGGCTCATCTCGAAAGACTCCTCGTCATCGGAGGGGGCGGGAGGGCTCAGCAACGACGATGAATCGCTTGTGTCGTGCATGTTTCCGTTCCCGTGGGCTGCTTCGAACTCCAAGCTCATCTCCTTTCCACCCTCGGAATATCGGTTCTTCGGGCGTGCCTCCTCCTCAGCCTCGTCCTCGGCGCCCGTCTTCCCTTCCGGTACGCCGTTGATGATGAAGCGGAAATCGACGTCCTTGATCTGCAGATGATCGCCACTTCGAAGAATGACTAGGCCTTCCTTGTGCAGAACATCGCCGACAAAGAACCCGTTCTTATGCAGGGGAATGCCTTCGAAGACGCCTTTTTCTTTGTTAAACTGGATGCGCATGTGCTCTCTCGAGATGGCCTTCGTTTTGCTCGCGATATCCGGGCCGGGTGAGTGGATGCCGATGATGGGCACATGATATGGAGAAGGGCGCAGAGAGGCAAGGTCGACGGCGGCGGCGCCGGGGGTGTGGGAGATGTACTGTCGATTGGAGATGAGGTTTTCTTGAGCCGCGTCTGCGTCCTGTTGCTGTTGCTGCGAGGATCCGTTGGTGCTAGTCTTCCGCTTCTTCCTGGGTCGGCCGGTCTCGTCGCTATCGGACTCGGGACCAAGCATGCCTCCTTCCTCGCTGACATAGGACTTACTGAACTTGTTCACATCTTGGCGGATAGGCGACGGTGGAGGCAAGCCTAGTCTTGCGTTTTCCTCGGCTCGTTTTCGGTATTCCTCGGCACGTCTCTCATCTCGGCGCGCCTGTTCCATTGCACGCTGGTCGCGACCGATGATGACGGCGTAGGTGGTCATCTGGAAAACGCTATCGGCGAATTCGATGCGGGCAAAAGACTCGAGGGCTTCGCTTGCGGGGTCGACGTGGTTTTGGCTGGTGTGCTCGGCGATGGTGGGCATAGTATGGGGACCACTGCCGTTGGGTATTGGGTTAGGGAGGGTGACTTGGGAAGGCGTAACGGTGGAGGGTGGCTGAGCCAAATGATGGTGCAACATTTGATCACCGGCCATGCGAGCAAGAGCCATGGCCATGAAGGCGTTGGAGTCCATGGGGTTGATGGGGGTGCGTGGGAAGGGCATATCGAAGGGGTCATGGTGGGTAACGGGGGTTTGCGCGCCGGGCGGTTGCGATAGCTCCATGTCATCCGGCTGTTGCTGTTGCTGCTGCTGCTGCTGCTGCGGCTGCGGCTGGTGTTGATGTTGTTGTTGTTGGTCTTGCTCCGGAAGAGTGCCAACATTGACGTCAACCATTTCGACGTCCATTGCATCCATGTTTGGCCCATTCATCACAGTGGTCCCATGCTCCGGTCCCTCTGCATCATGTCGAGGAGGATGCGAAGGCTCAGGGTTATGTGATGCCACATGGGAGTGACCTCGAGGGGATGGGCCATCGTTCGAGGAATCGACGGTAGTAGTGGCGGTGGCATTAGCAGGAGCAGAGGGAGGAGGAGCATGGGCTGTAGGAGTCAGAATGGGAGTAGGGCTACCACCAGCACCATCACCACCACCAGCTCCAGCACCAGCTCCAGCACCAGCACCAGCAGCAGTAGATGCCGCAGAAGTGGGAGCAGTAGTAGTATCTGTGGTCGCCGTGGTAGATGGCTCGTCGGTCGTTGTGGTTGTTGCTGCCACAGCTGTAGTGTCTTTGATGGATCCAGGGGGGTTCGTCGCCTTTGCCGTTGTCGTGTCTACGGTAGGATCTCTCCCAATCTTGGCCGTGCCGGCGGTGTTGGTAGTTGTTGTCGTCGCGGTGTTCGTGTTCGTGATAGTAACAGGTTTAGGCGGTAATGGCGTCTTGGGGATATCGGGCGCCTGGCCATTCTGGCCGGCATTAGACGAAGTCATCGCTGGCTCTGTCTTCCCGGTCAAGGCAACAGAATCAGCTCCTTCGCCTTTGGCAAGCCGAGATGGGCGATTGGTCACGGATGTGTGATGGGGGTGGTGAAAAGCGGCGTGACTGTCGGAGCTTTTGCAAGCTTGCGATAAGAAACCTGGAAAGGGAAACAAAGGGCCGGGGAAAGAAAAAAAAATGGGCACGCAAAAAGGTGAGAGGTCAGCGGCCGGGGGCAGGTGTTGGTTCCTGCGGCAAGTGCAATGTCCCCCCCAATCAGTGCTATTCGACCACTAAACAGCCAGTAAAAGGGCGCCACTTCAGAGTTCCTTCTCTGTACGAAGCAAGGCCAAAGGGTCTGACGGAGTCTTTTATCAGAATATCACGTGTCTGATTGGTTCTTACTTGGTAGTTACCTTGTGTGCATTCTCTCACCGACCTCCCCCACTTTCCCCGCGCATCTGCCACCCAGAACAGAACTTCACTTCCAGATTATGACAAGCTGAGCTAATCAGATGATGAAAGGCAGCCACCCTCGGGTCACTCCTTCTTTCTCGGTAAGGTACCTTATTACCTTTCCGTACCTTACCTTAGTTAAGTATATCTTTGTTAGAAAATACTACTTCGCACTCCCACTTTTGAACCGGAACAGGGTTACCGGACGCCCCATGCGCCATGGCAGACAGATATCGCATGGATTTCAGCTCACTTCAGATCAGCTGCACAAGCCATCCTATGCCTAAACACACAACGTCAAGCGGAACATGGTATATAACGCAACTCATGGTCTGTAACCAGATGCCGGTGCCGAACAAGACGATGTTGAAGGGCCGAAGAGCCAGTACACAGTTATCTCTACAGTGTGAATGAAGTACGTAGTGATAGGGATGCCAAAAGGCGGTGAGCCTTTGCCAAAATCCGAGGTCCCAAGTCGGCTTTTGCCTAAGGTATTGGCAGATGGTGCTGGGTGCTGCAGTGACCCGAACCAGCTGAAAACCTGCCTGTGAAGCGAAGCTTCGAGCTCAGGTACTTCGACGGTCTCTGCAACGACCTCTCCCTTCTGCAGATACAATAGGTCGCGTCAAACGAGAAAAGAAAAATGATCGACGAATGGGAGTTTTCTGTGGTGTACACTGGCCGACAGACGGCTTAGAACACGGGAGATGATATAGATGGAGATGGCCCGGGCCGAAATATAGGTCGCCATGGGCTCCGACAAGGAGGCCCAACCTTATTTCCATGGCGACTTGCCACGTCGAAAAGGCCTTCTTTCTTGTATTGGCGGCGTCTATTGTTCTATTGTTCCTCGTGAGAAGTTTCAATGTTAGTCATCAAACCTTGTGCGCCGAAGAACAGAAGAAAAGCGACCGGAAGAATCCCGAGTTACGTCCGGTCACGTGACTCGCCCGTCAGTCTGACTTATATCTCCCATGTTGTTTCCGGTCACGTCGTCTTTCTTTCATCCGTGCTTTCCACGCTGGCGCATGTGGGTGATGCCGGCCTGCCGAGCCCGACAAGCTTTTTCTGCCGCAATCCAAGCTGTTTTTGGCCTAGAGGTATCCCTTTCTTGTCATGGTATGTGGCCGTATGTGGGCTCCGTCCGGCGCACGGCATGCAGGTCTGCAGGTCACAACCTTTGGGTCAGGCTGGCCGGGTACGTCGGTCGACGTGTACTAGGAAGTATTCGCAAAGTAGCTTGGGCTAGTAGAAGCCTTTGATATCGCAGTACCATTACCTTCACGTTCGATTGCTGTACGATGTGTATACTGCGTCCTGTAGGCAAGACTCTGGTAGACACACCTTTGCGGGGGGTCCCGGGCTGTTTCCGAAAGCATGACACAAGCTTTTCTTCCAGCTCTCTTTCTTATCCTCTAAATCCCCTCTACCTTTTTTTCTTTTTCTTTTCTTTTCTTCCTTTTTTTATTCTCCCATTTTACTTTTTCTCCTAAACACCTCGATCTGGCAGCCTCGCACCTCATCACCTCTCGCCGCTCGACCCACTCGTGCAGCCATCCTCGATATCGAGCAAATTCCGTTGGCTTCTTGCTACTGACAAGGTATGATGTACATCAATGGATGACGGTGTGTAATACCTCATTTTGGACCATGTCTTAATGTTCACCTTCAGTCAAACGAGTCTAGTCGGAGCAGACCTCCAAGCGACTGTCTGTGTCTGTGCCTGTGCGCCATTGAGGTAGGGATACCTTTCTTTTCTCCTCCATTACTCTGCCCTCGTCTCTTTCAAAGGAGGAAGAAACCCAATGGAAAATTGCCGTCAAATGGCTACACAATTTCCATTCATTCGCCAATCGTCGCCTTCGTCATATTGCCCTGAGTGGCACACCCGTGACCCACGTGGACGCGGTGCGGGCATCATTCTGCTCTGTGGTGTTGCAGATGCCATATGCGATCATCTGCATGCAAGCATTGATTATTATTTTCGTCGCATTTCGCATCGTCAGACCTCTCACTGACTGGCCGTCCACTAGACAAATCTTTCCTTTCTCGATCTAACGTCTTCCAAACTCCCACACTTTCCCGCGACAAATCCCCTACGCGAAGATGCCTGCCATCAACGCCATCGTCGCCCGCGATGCGGCGCACCAACTCGCGAAACGCAACTGGGCAGCGCAAGAACCCGGCGTCGTAATCGTCTTCTGCATTCTCGGTGCCGTCGGTATCGGGATCCTCGCCGTGCTCCTCTACAAGTACATCTCGCGCAAGAGGGCCGAGAAGGAGGCCCGTGTCTCCCAACGAATCTAACCACTCCTTGGTTTATTTTTTATTTTTTACCTTCTCGACTTGGTGCAAACCCGTTTTGACCGCCGAATATTTTGCCACCTAAATTCCGTTCCCCTCCGAGGCCATAAGACGGGACTACGTCGCGGGAACGGAACAGTCGTGCAAAGAAATGTCACATATGCGACGGGCATCGTGGCTTTACAAAGTATGAAGGGGAAGGGACGTTCGCAGTTATGTGGGGGGCGTGTATGTATGCGTATGTGGGTGCGCCGTTTGGGTGGATTCGGTGGATTTATGGGGGGAGCATTTTGACGATCTCTTGGCCTATCCCATTTCCTTGGCCTCGGCAGTAGAGTTGAGGTGTGTATTGCTTCACGGTCGAGTGGTTTTTTCCCCCCTCTCTCTCATGACAGCTTGGCATGAGCGAGACAGGGGGAGCCATCATCGTCAGGGTGTGAGATGGTAATTTAGAATCTTTTATTCTCTCGTTACTTTGCAGTCTAATAAAATAAAAATATGGAAAAGATACCTAAAAATAGCAAATAAGAAATATCCGTAAAACAATCGCCCGGAACCGTGAGCTTGGCGTACTTGGCGGGATACTTGGCGATCATGACAGCTCTTGGCAGCTCTGAACGTTGTTGAGACACAGTAGGAGTCTACACGCGTATCACCTAAGCATAATCTCGAAGTCCGCTGCTTTTGAAGCTTTTCGCAAAGACTGCCCAGTAGGCATAAAGCAGTATTCCGTGATATCCGAACTTGAAGGAGAAAGCTAGGGGCACAGGCCCGAATTTAAACCGGTCCCGGAGTCCCCTATACCCCTTGAGGCAGTCGCCGATTTCCGGATCAGCCGGAAGGTGAACAGTAGGAAGCGAACAAGCCACAGATCTATTCACAACCACGAGCGACTCGAGCTCAACGTCTTAAAGCTGCTCCTCTTACCGCCCGTCCCTTTCCCTCCCGCTTCGCCTCCATCCCCACCGCCCTCGTCATACCCACTCGTATTTGCAGGCTTTCCGCCCCAACCCCGTCCGCCCCTCTTCCCCGACGCCACCGCCCTCGGCCCAGCCTCTTCGAAGAAGTAATGATTCACGCTCCGCGCAAAGCCGACCCGCCACGGTGCGACCAGAGCCCTGGAATCAGGTCCCGCGCCGCACGAACCGCTCACGGCCCCGCTGGGCGGCGAGTTGACCGCGAGGGCGAAGAGGTTCTGCGGCTCGGTGAAGTCGGTGACTAGGCCGGAGCGGGCCAGGAGGTAGGCGAGGCAGAAGCTGTTGATGGCGAAGACGAGAAAGAGGACGACGTGGAAGATGTTGTGCCAGGCGAAGGTGTGCGAGGACGTGTATTCCTGCGTGCGGATCGACGCGTTGAAGGGTTGCAGCGCGCCCGGGGCTTCTAGGATCGGGAAGGGGTGCTCCCAGTAGTGGACGAAGGGGGTGGAGAGGGAGGCGATGCTCAGGGTGGAGGACGAGAGCACGGCCAGGGCTTCGGCGATGGAAGGGAGCGCGGCGTTGAGGGAGGGATGGGAGAGCACGAGCTGTGATAGGATACGGGCGTTGGACGCATTGACGTTGTAAGTGCCGCCGTTGAGGTCCATGGAGAGGCGCCATTGGTCGGCAAGGTTCTGGACACATGGTTTAGTAAAAGGGAAACGAGGAAGTGGAGGAAGTGGGGGAAGTGGAGGAAGGGGAGGGAGGAAAACACATACTGCCCAGTCGGCGTTGGGAATCGACCAGGTTACGTCCGGGAAGGCTCCGACATAACTGTCCACGTCATCCGGATCCTCGCAGTGCGCACGCAGATGGGCACCAGCTGTGCCGGAGATGTTGAAATGAGTCGAACAATAAGGAGATACCCAGGACCGCATCTCGCAGAGGGTATAGTTCGCCATGGAGGCGGGCTTGGCGAGAACGTAGATTGCATCTCGACTTGGTTGGTTCCATTCGGCATGTGGCCCAACGTAAGAGGTGTTCACCAACATGTTGAAATCGGCAGGATACTACCAGTTGTCGGGTTAGTCCTGAAAAGAAAAGAAGAAGAAAAGGAAGAAAAAAACAGAAGAAAAAACCACCTACGAGCTGAAAGACGGGTGGTCGTCTCTGATATTTCGGACCCCATCGGAAAATGTCGTCCACCGCAGTTCGGTTCAGCCACTCATCCTCCGCAATGACCGGCACCTCTTCATTCCACCTCTCGTGGCCGATTATCTGGTCATCCACACCGGTCCTTTCCACCTCAGCGTCCTCCCATGTGGTGTAGACCAGAGGGGCGAGCTCGTCCTCGTCCATATTGACGCACATGACGTTGACCGCCGGCGACACGACGCTGGCCTTGATGGTATACTCGCCCACATCTGACAGCTCTTGCGGCTGGAGGATTCCGTTGACCGGATCGGTGGCTGCAGCGTACACGCCTGGGTGCGGCATGGCCAGGGTGACGTTATTGATGATGCGACCGTACTTGTCGAAGAGCCCAGCCACGTCCGCGTGCTCGGCGTCGATCCAAGCCGACGTCATGGTGGTGTTGTCATGCAGTATCGCTGTGCCGACCGGTCTCCGCTTGATGTGTTCCTCCCGGCCGACCCCTGTCATCTGGATATCCTGCCATGCGGCCAAGAAGGACATGAAGTTGCGGTATGCTTCAGTGAAGGTCAGTTGACCACCCGTCTATCAATGGGGGAGAAGGGGGACGGTAAAAGATGACAGTTGAGGTCTTTCTTACATTGTCCCGAGAATTGAACGTCAAGACAGGAGCCGCCGGCCGTCAGTTCGCCCATGGGATCCAACTGACGCAGTGGACTGAGACAGGCCTCGTTGACAAAGTTGGGATTGGCATACGAGGAGCGAACGCGACCTTCCAGCAGCTTCCTCTCCCAGCCGCCATACTTGAGCTTTGGCGTGACCATGGCCTCGGACGCGGTGGTGTAAAACATGGCGGCGAGGGTGGCGGTCAAGGAGACGGCTCCGAGGAACGTGAGACCGGCAGAGGGAAGCGTCTGCCAGTGGGTGATGAGAGACCCCGGTTGCTGTTTGTCGCACGAAGGACACATAAAATCAGCTTACAACTGATCGATAAAGACGGAAAAAAAAAAATTAAAGGGGGAAAGAGGAAGAAAAGGAAAGAAAAGAAAAGAAAAAAAAAGCATCACGAACAAGAACCCAGTTCCTCATGGTCATTTCGGCCAGCGTCATGCCGCCTGCTCCCTTGATGAAGGAACGGCGGGTCAGAACCTGGCCGAGGAAAGAGATGAAGACGGTGACGAAAGACATTTCAATGGTCTTTGCGAACAGCGTGGTAAGGACGGAGGCGGTCGATGGGGCCATGCCGCCGCTGGTGGAGATGGCGCGGCCCCATCGCGGCTGGATGATGGCGACGAGGAACCAGAGGCAGCTGAGGGCGGTGGAGTAGATGGACAAGACGAGGATGGAGATGGACAGCCAAGAGGCACGGCTCATGTAGACGTCCTTTTTCGAACTACAGTAGTTCGGCGGTTCGTCTGGGGTGAAAAAAAAAAGTGAGGAGGTTAGCAAAACATAAACACTTGCAAAACAAAAACACTTCTGCCCGGACATGGCTTCGAGTTTTTGACTGGCACGCGAGGTCGAAGACGAAACAAAGCGGAAGATCCTCAGAGGCACATACTATATCGTGTACTGAGGGGTTTGTCGTCGTCGTCGTCGTCGTCGTCATCGTCGTCACGGTCACCGTTTTGGTTGGCGATATTCTGAGTAGTAGTCGTAGTAGTATGAAAATTCGGCCCGAGTGTATGACCCGATCGGTCCGTGTTTCCCAGACCGACGTCTTCACAGGTAGTATCCGCGGCACCGGTGATGACGATGCCAGGCGAAACTAGCCCCGACTGTTGCGCATCGTCGTACGAGGGACGGGCCGTGTTGTCCGTGTCCGCCGACGGGGTCCGTGATCCAGACAGCCAAGCTCTAAAGCGGGAGGCTGGAGACTTTCGCGGCGACGAAGAGGCGGAATAGGCGGGCGGGGGAGGCGAGGCGGCGCTCAAGTCGGGTGGTGTCTCCATGAGGGCTTGGAACGAACGAGGGGTTGCGGGTGTGCTGGCCTTGGAGCCGACGGGCACACGAGGAATAGACCTCGTATGTTGAATGTGTTGAGTGTGTTGAGGGATCATCGGGCTACTGGGACTAGGGCCGTCAGACTCGTCCAAGTCGAGAGGGCGAGGGCGTGGGCGTGGGCGGCTGGATGGGCGTGAAGATGGGTCCCGAACGTCGTGAAAGTCGGCAAGGTCTATCGCGTCGTCGGACGGCATGCGCTGGTAGCCATCGCGACGGAAGATGGAGCAGCGGTTGACACCATCATGGCTGACATGGTTAAGAGGAGTAGGTGAAGTGGGCAGAGGCGGGGTCTGCGCTGGAGTGAAAGAAAAGGAGTTGGCCGATGCGAGGAGGGTTGGGCGAAGCTCATCCTCTTCTGACACCGGGCCCATCCTGAAAGGCGGCTCCTGGTGCAGGTTGTCGTTTTCAGACATGATTACCCGTCGGTTGCTTGGGTTGTCTGATTCACGCTCCCTATGCTGCGGGTACCCCGAATGGGGATTCGACCATGGCAAGCCAGTGGTGGTGGGAGTAGGGAGTAGGGAGTAGGGAGTAGGGAGTAACCCTTGTCGCTCGTACGAACAAAGACTCCAAATGCCTCGAATGGCCCGGCCTTTCGAATCCTCCAAGACTTAGTTTAGTTGCTTTGTTCGAAGGCTTGCATGCATAGGAAGGGCTGCCAGCAGTGAAGCAACTCGAACTCGATGCTTTGGTAGACTGCGGGCGGATAAGCGCAGAAAGGGAGACCCAACAGGCTGTCGCAAAGGACAAACAGCAGATCGCATAAGCATATAAGCCAAGGACGGAAAATCAAGAACCAACAACCGTTCTTTTTTCTCCTTTCCTCGTAGACAATTGACCCTTGCAGTGCAAGGACTCTCAAGAGGTAGTGAAGAGGAGCGAACAAGGTGTCTAAGATGATTGTGATTATTCGAGATGGACCGAGGAGAGAGAGAGAGAGAGAGAGAGAAGCAAAAAATAAAAAAAGAGACACACACGCAAAACACAAAAACAGAATTAGATGCCTAATTGATAATTGGTGTAACACGTCGCAACGTTATTTTTTCATAGAATATTATGAGAAAAGAGACGCAGGAATAAACAGGGCTGGAATAAGGTAGGTAGCAGCATTTTTGGGGGCTAGGTAAAGTAAGGTAGGTAGGAAAATGGGTTGAGAGGAGCTTGGACCAGAATTAGCGACCGCTGCCCACGAGACTTGAACATAACTGGGATTCAGGGATCAGGGTCGAGGAACAGGGGGGCCCGGAGAGGAGAAGGGTCCAAGTCCCCAACGTAACAGCCACCGAATAAAGGGATGGACGAGGATGAGTTGGAGATAACGGGCCCGCCACCGTTGTACCTAAGGTATTGCTCCTCCGTTCGGGTCGTTCCGCATTTAATTGCTACGAGCACTCCCGAAGGAAGCTCGAGACAAAAAGAACCAAAATGCAGCAACCCGCAACCCGCAACCCGCAACCCGCTAATCACTTCGGAGGACATCCCACCTCTGTTGGTGGCGACGGGTGAGTTGGTTATTAATAAGGTAATTACTTCTGTCCCTGATGGCGGCATTGCTGGTTGAGGTACGTTTCTACGCGGACAGTGCCAAGACATTAATTGGCTCTGTCCTAAAAATAGTATCTATACCTTATCCCTCTCCCCATATCGATTGGTCGATGTTGCCTAATCCCCCGGCTAGACGTGGACATGACATGATTCCCCATTTGGGAAAGGCTCGGGGCAAATGATTACTAACTGATTAGTACTAAATATCCGTACAGTGTAGTTACTCCGTATTCCGTACAAACCCGAACTGTCCAACAGAACTCGGTTGATGCAAAGAGACGACCCCGACTCTTTCTCTCTACCTCACACTATTACGGAGATGGAGATCAGAACCCCCCAACCAGAATATAATCCCATACAACTCGGAAATAAGAACAGTTTAATATATGAACCCAGAATTATCAATTACCATTGCCTGATCATTTTCTTCCCAACCAGCACAGAAGCAACCGTCATAAAATGCAACACAAACTCACTCATAGGCGTCGTTCCTAGGTATCCCTTCCAGCCATCCCTCGTCAGACCTCCCCAACAAACAAGCTTTCCATTATATACAGTTCGCTTGTCTGGGTCAGGCAGCGACAGACCCTACTCGCCTCGATGGCCGTCCCGCCCTGCGCTGGGAGTTGTCACCGCCGCTGCCACCGCCGCTGCCACTGCCACTGCCGCTGCCACCGCTCGCGCCCGGCCGTGGCCTTCCCAGCGTATACTTGGCAAACGCCCGCGCCAAGGCCTTCTTGCAGCTGAGCTTCTGGCTGGCGACAAAGCTTTCTACCGTCACCGCGATGGCGCGGTCCATGTCTTGCGACGAGCAGTACTCCGAGAGACGCATCCGGCAGAATGCCTCGCTGATGCGGATGACGGCTTCCAGATGACGAACCTTGTGTGTGTGCGCTTGGGTTAGACTGTCTGTGCATTTCTGGACCGATTTTATGCATTTGGAAAAAAAAAAAGGAAAAAAGGAAAACTCACCGTAATGGGATACGCTCCCGTCGCCAGCGACTCCCGTCTCATGTCGGAAAACAGTCGCGCCACCTTGTCCTCGTCCATGTGATAGAGCTTGGGCGACACACGTTCGCGCGCATACAATATGTACTTTCGTAGAAGCTCCTGCGGGATCTCGTCCTCTTTCTTCCCGCCCTCGGCTTGCGTGTCCTGCTGCTGCTGCTGCTCCGAGTCGTGTTCCACGTCCATCGACGATCCTTGCGTCGCCGCCTGCGCCGCCTGCGACAGCGGGTGGCTCCGGCTATGCGAACCCACGATGAAGCGCGCCAGCCGCTCGTCTTCCGCCGGCTCGACCGTGTCGCGGACCACGCACAAAATGTCGAAACGCGACAGGATGGGCTCCGTCAGCTGCACGTTGTGCGAAAACGGGATCGTCGAGTTGTAACGCCCGCCTTGGGGGTTGGCCGCCGCGATGATGCCGCAGCGCGCCTGCAGCGTCGTCACGATGCCCGCCTTGGAGATGGAAATGGTCTGCTGCTCCATGGCCTCGTGGATCGACGTCCGGTCCTGGTCGTTCATCTTGTCGAACTCGTCGATCAGGCAGGTGCCCTTGTCCGCGAGCACGAGCGCGCCGCCCTCCAGCGTCCACTCGCTCGTCAACGGGTCGCGGCGGACGCTGGCCGTCAGGCCGACGGCGCTGGCCCCCTGGCCCGTCGCGAACACGGCACGATGCGCCGTCTTCTCCACGTACTTGAGCACCTGGGACTTTGCCGTACCCGGGTCGCCGAGCAGGAGGACGTTGATGTCCCCGCGGACGTGATGCCCGCCCTTGCCCACCTTGGCGACACCGCCAAACAGGGACAGGGCGACGGCCGTCTTGACATCCGCATGGCCGTAGATGCTCGGCGCGATCGAGTTGATAATCTTGTCGACGATGGCCGGGTCACGAGACAACTTCCGGATGGCCTGCTCGTCTTCTTCGGTCAGGCGGAAGCCGGCAAGCTGATCGTGCGACTTGACCACGTTGTTCGCCTCGAGAACGGTGGCGAACACGGGGAAGCCGTTGCGGTTGTTGAGCTGCGCGTCGTAGCTGTTCCTGTAGATGCCCGTCACCTCGATCTCCTCGCCGGGCTTGGCCTTGTCGATAAGGTCCCAAAGCAGAATCACGTCCCGGTGCCGGGGGAGACGGCCCGCCGGGACCGTGCCGGGCGATTCCTGGAGCGTGAGCTTTTGGTAGTTCCGGTACACCGTCTTCTCCGAGTTGAGAGTGAAGGGACCCCGCGACTGGCAGTTCTGGCAGTACGTGATCTTCACCTCGACGTTGGACTCTTGCTGGAAGGGACCCAGCGTCACCCCGCACTTGGTGCAGTCAAACTTGACGTATTTGAGCTGCGGAAACACGCCGGTACGGCGCGTGACCACGCCGCTGACGCGGACCAGACAGTTGAGATGGGACTGGCGCAGCTGTCTCAGGGTATAGTGAACGGGCAGGTCGAAGATGCGGACGTGAATCTCGGAGTGGATGCGCTCGTAGTCGGGGTAGTGGAGAAGGACGACATCCATGGCCACCTCGTCGAAGAGCTTGAGCATCTCGGCGGGGGCGTTGGCGAGGAAATAGGCGAGAATGGCCTTGGACGATGACAGGTGATCGTACGACACCTCGAGCGTCTCGGCGTTGATCTCGCCAAGGGTGCGAATCCGGTTGCCGTAGACGGAGGACCCGCTTTCGTCGATGTATTCGGTCAGGAAGGCCTTGAACTCCCTCTTGATGGTGCGTTGCACGAAGGGCTGCGAGACCCATTCGGTCAGGGTGGCCGCCTTGACGTCTTGGAGGGCTTCCAAGGAGAGCTCCTCGTCCATGATGTCGGCATCCATATCCTCGTCCGGGTCCTCGTCGTACGCATGGCGGCGTCGACGGGGCTGGGCCGTGAGGTCGATGTCGGCGTCGTCGTCCTCGCCGGGAAGGAAAGCCGCGGGGATCCGTTGCCGGCGGGCCACCTCACGATCCCTGCGGGCTAACTGGGCTTCGAGTCGCCGGCGGGCCCCGAGGTCCATCTGATCGTAATCGCCTCCGTCGTCGAGGCCTATCGCTTCATACGTGTCGTCTTCTTTGTCGCGGTAATCTTGTTCGAACCCTTCGCGGAAGAGGTCCACGTCGTCCTCGGCCATTTCGTCCACGTCATCCAAGTCGTCCTGAATCTCGGCCTCCTCTTCAATGTCGTCCTCGTCGTCAACACCGTGTGCCATGTCGAAGGCCGGCGGCGAGGAAGCCATGGGACTTGACGGGGTGGCGACGGAGGAGCCATCGGGGCCAGTCGTACGGGACCGTTTGCGACTTGACCTCGCCGATGGTCCCCTGTTAGCGGCGCTGGGGTGGTTGCGAAGGGGAGAACTGGGGCAGCGCGAGTCAGCATGGGATGAAAATATGAATATATGAAAATATGAAAACTGAAATCCTTCATCGATGCGCTTTGGGATGGGGGAATTCCGGACCTCATTGTTGCGGTGAGCTTAGGGCGGTAAGGTCCCCTGATGACGATTGGCAACAAGTCGAGTTCACTTTTTTGGGTACCTATTATAATGAAAGAAAGAGATATCAACAGAGAGGGGCGAAGGAAAGAGAGGGGGAAAGGTCGGCGGTATGTGTGGTGTGTATCGAGACGAAGGAGGAGCAATGGAGGGGAAACAAATGGAAGGCCCCAGTGACCCTTTCCTGCCCGTGCGTCAACCGTCCACTGGACCACTGGTCCACTGGTCCACTGGAAAGGCGCGTCGCATTCCTGGAACGCGTTCAGGGGAAACGCGTCAAGTGGCACTAACCCTGATCGGGATGACGCGTAAAGTGGAAGCAGCCCACCACAGTGCTGCAGTGCTGCAGTGCTGCAAACACAGTGAGACATTGTACCTGATACTGCACCCCATACTCTTGTACCATCCTAATACAGAATCCTGTTGATCACATGCATATGTGGATAGAGATGTACTTCTCGCTAGGTATATGAGTGGTCTGCGACTGGGTACCTTAAGGTACCTTATTACCTTACCTTACCTTAGGTACTTCGCACAATCATATCGCGTCTTTGGTGTCTTGTAGCTCTGAATTAGCATCATCGAGCTTTCCTATCCTTCTAACTTCCAAAAGTCCTGACATTTCCTTAGGCACTTTTAGCCATTGCATCCATTTAACTGGCCATCGTTGATCAATAATTTCTGAGCTCTTCTGATTCTTCCGTTCTAACGACTTTGTTCTTCAAGTATTTCCGTCGCGCTGTCGCAATTCGACGGTCGATCTTCTTGTCCACCAAGTCTCGCAATCCATCATCCATCCTCCTCCGAATCATTGATCACCATGGATCCTCCCGCCTCGAACGCTTCGCAGTCCGCTGCGGTAGCCGAAGGCGATTCGAACGCCGTTGCTCCGAGCCCAGCACGCAGCGGCAGCTTCTCGTCGCACAAGTCCGACGATTCTCAGACCGCGGCCGATTTCATTCGCAACCAGATGCAGCTCGAAGCCGATGCTCGGGAAGCGCTTCCTTATGTACGTGCCAAAAACGCTCAACTTTTTATCCTTGACGCGACTTCCCTCGCATTTTCTTTTGATTGCTTTAACTTGCCTTGCTCCGCCCGAAGCGGATAGCTAGCTAATGCTAATTCGAACTGGTCCAATCTACAGAGCATCGAAAACTGCACCAAGATCCTGGGCCCTCTCCGCCAGAGCGTCTTCGCTTGCCTCACCTGCACGCCTCCCCCCCATAACCCATCGGACCCCTTCTCACCAGCCGGCGTCTGCTACGCCTGCTCGGTCCAATGTCACGGCGATCACTCCCTGGTCGAGATTTTCACCAAACGCAACTTTACTTGCGACTGCGGTACTACGCGCCTGCCCGCCGCCAGCACCTGCGACCTTCGCGTCAACCCCAGCACGAACACCAAGGGCGGCGTCCACTCGGAAGAGCCTGACGCCAATAACAAATACAACCAGAACTTCCGGAACAGGTTCTGCGGCTGCGAGTGCGACTACAACCCCTTCCAACAGAAAGGCACCATGTTCCAATGCCTTGGCCTGGGCACCACCGAAACAGGCGGCTGCGGCGAAGACTGGTATCATCCCGGCTGTCTCGTCGGCATGGGTCCCAGCTGGTTCGAGAGCATGAAGAAAGAGAAGCCCGGCAAAGATACCGGTGCGCCACGGGCCGCTGAAAACACCACCGATGACGGATCGCTTCCCACAATCTCCGAAGAAGCCGAACGACAACAACCGCCACGGGAGGAAGCACCCACTAACCAAGAAGAAGAAGAAGAAACCGACGACGACGACGACGACCCGCCCATGCCGCCCGGCTTCCCATCCGAAGATGATTTCGAAGGATTTCTGTGTTACAAATGTGTCGCCGCGTATCCGTGGATCAGGAGGTATGCAGGCACCAAAGGCTTTCTTCCTGCTGTGTTCACCCAACAGGATGCGCCGGCGGTCCAGAGGCCCGATACGAAGGGAGATGCGTCGAACAAACGCAAGGCGGCAGAGGACCCGGAGGATGCATCTCAGACAAAGCGTGTGAAGAGTGAACAAGAGGAACCCGCGACGAAAAAAACCGGCCCCGCCGAGACATCATCAACGGAGAAACAACAAAACGGAGAGGCCGCCAACGGGCAAGGAAAGCAGCAGCTCGAGCCTGAAAAAGCCTCGACCTCGACCTGCAGGTGGGCAACCCTGCCGAACGGCCCTGACGACGCCCCCTTCTCCATCTTCTTCACCGAATTCTTCCGCGACCACCTCTGCCGCTGCTCGGACTGCTACGTCTCCAAACTCAACGCGCATTCCCAGCTGCTCGAAGAGGAAGAGACGTACGAGCCCCCGCTGTCCGAGGACGGCGGCTCGGAACACGGCGGCTCCACCCATGGGAGCGGCAGCCTGCTCGAGCGCGGCGAGAGCGCCTTGCGCAACGTCGATCGCGTGCGCGCCATCGAGGGCGTCATGGCCTACAACCATCTCAAGGAGCAGCTCAAGCCGTTTTTCCGGGAATTCGCCGACAGTGGACGGGCCATCGGTGCCGAGGACATCAAGGCCTACTTTGCTAAGCTGCGCGGAGATGACCAGGGCATCAGGGAAGCGGGGGGCTCCCGTGGTGAGGGGGACGACGATGATCACGATAACAGGAGAGAGCAGAGCGGATACTAGGTGCGATGGGAGAGCTAGGGATTTTTTTTTTTTTTTTCGTTTTTTGTTTTGTGAAACCGGAACAGGGGGTGATTGTGTCGCCCGGTCGGTGGATAAATCTGTACAATAGTGGTTCAATTGCTCAAGGGGTACTGGTGGTCTTCCTACTGCTGTGAGGCCAGATATCACGGGGAGTTGCGGCGTTGGGGGTGGCTACGACAAACTTCACGCGGGATACCTTAGTTCAGGAATTGATTACCGATGGATAGGGCCGAGCTGATATTTGCCTGACAATGAGCAATATTTGCCTCTACCTGAGAGTGAACAGAGAACCCATCACCTACTTTACCAAACCAGTGTAGCATACCAGGGGGATCACGCCTCGACGCCTCGACGCCTCGATGCATCGATGCCGCCGATTTCGAAGTGCTCAGCTGCCATGATTCGCCATGGCTAGACCTCATGACAAGTTCAACCTTCCAAGCTGCCCCCTATCACGATATAGTCAGCAGAAACCTACACAGTAAGAGGCGGCGTGGCCTGGTGCGTCTAGCCCCTGTTTGCCGACACCCGGTTGGTGCTGGACATTCCGTACTATGTAGTATCTATTCCGCACAGAGTAGATCATGCTTGGCTTGGTAGCCTGGTACTCCGTAATGTTTACCTCATGTCAGACTGGAGAACAGCCAAGATAAAGCTTATTTCCCCTGATGCCGACGATGGTGTTGCTTGATCTGGCCTGTTCCGGTGGCCACGAGCTGTATGTCCGAAGGAGAAGAGAGTTTGGTCGCGGATATTGTGAGATTCAGAGAACAATTGCGTGTTCTTTTTGAATCTACGTCCCTGGCATCAGGATCCCGTCCCCATGAAGATATAAAGAGGTGTGGTAGAGCAGGTTCAGCATCCTGTCCTTGGGGGGAGGGAGGGAGGGGAATGATTCTCTCCTTCGATAGTTTTCTCTCCCGAACCATCCTGGTCACCTAGGTCCGCCACGGTAGGCCTTAATCCATGGATCCCGATCCCCCTTTGCCTCGCTGCTATACCCAACTCGCTCTTGTTAACTGTGTGCGAAGTAAGCTCCTCAGGCGCTCGTAATGGCTGGTCCATCACGCCTACGGCTTCACCGCCAACATATCGCTCTCGCAGATAGGAGAGGGGAGAGGGGATTGAATGAAGTATGTAGCCATATAGTGTCAAGTGGCTCTCACGTAAAGGAAGTTCTTAACAGCCACTCCCGTGGGAGAAAGAAAGTTACTTCTTCAGGAGAACTATAACTGTTGACGTCCGAATTCCCCCCCTTCTCTCTCCCCTGATTTCCTCCTCCCTTGTTCACCTACATAAGCGGACGTATTTTTTCTTGAGTCCATGTTATTTAGTGCTCGTGTAAACCACCCAAGACCTCCTTGCTCGAGAACTTCATACCTATCCCTGACGGCTCCCGTTACTCTCATCGTCAAACATGTCAAGAGACGAGACTAAGAGAAATTCCCTTGAGATTGCCGCTATGCCTATCGAGGCGACATCCTCCGGCACCAGTCAGGATGCAGCCCCGAGCCCATCGTCAGGCCCATCGTCGAGCCCTACCTTGGACTCGGGTGACGGATCGGGCGACGGATCGGGCGACAAGCTACGACGGAACATTAGCATCCGCCATATGATATTCATCGCCCTCGGAGGCTCAATAGGAGCCGGCCTATTTGTCGGCTCTGGCGCTGCGCTGAGTGCAGGCGGTCCTTTGAGTCTGGTGCTGAACTTTTCCATCGTTGGTTTCGGCGTGACCTGCACAATGGGCAGCTTGGGAGAACTTGCCGGTAAGTGTTCTTGTTGTCTTCTTGTCTTGTTGTCGTGTCTCTCTCGCCCTCTCTGGGTGTCCTTCTACCTCCCTACCCCTCCAACCCCCTTTTTTTCTTTCCCATTCCTTTAGTCCCATAAATAACACCCCCTTCAGCAACCTTCCCCGTGGCCGGTTCGTTCTACGAATACTCGAGGCGGTTCGTTTCCGAGGCCTGGGGCTTCGCCATGGGTTGGACCTTCGTCCTGAACTGGCTCATCATCTTCCCCTTCGAGATCACTTGTATTGTGTCCCAAGTCAAGTTCTGGGGCGATCGGATGCTGCCGGCCTTTATAATCACCCCGCTTCTCGCCACCCTCATCGCCACCTCCTTCTTGGGTTCACGTTGGTACGGAGAACTGGAGCATGCCTTTGGAATCGGCAAGGCACTTGCTCTGGTGATTTTCATCTTCATGGCCCTGTGTATCATCGGTGGCGGAGTGTCGTCGGATCCTCGGTAAGTGGCCTGGTGATTCTGAAGCGGAGCTCGATATGGATCTACACCTACCCGGTCTCAGAGGTGCCTCTGCTAACTAACCCCTTGGCATAGCCAAGGAACCGGAATCTCGTTTTGGCAAGACGGCTTGGCCACTCGAAACGGGTTTCCCGGTTTTATGCTCGTTTTCCGTGTCGCCGGCATGTCCTACGGAGGAACCGAGCTGCTCGGCATGACGGCGGCGGAGTGCAACAACCCCAAGAAGGCCCTCCCCCTGGCCACCAAGGTCACCTTCTTCCGCATCCTGGTCTTCTACATCCTCACGCTCTTGCTGCTCGGCTTCGTCGTCCCCGCCGATGACCCCCGGCTGGCGTCGACCGGGAAGGGCGCCCAGGTGAGCCCATTCACCCTGGCGGCGCAGATCGCCGGCATCCGCCACCTGCCGACCTTTTTCAACGTCTTCATCATCGTGGCGCTCGTCTCCATGGCCAACGCGAGCATCTTCGCCTCGAGCCGCGCGTTCCAGGCGCTGTGCCAGCACGGGATGGGACCCCGCTGGGGCGCCACGGTAAAATGGGGGGTCCCCCGCTGGGGTATCGTCCTGGCCTTCGCGTTCGGAACCCTCGCGTACGTCACCGTGGCGCCCGGCGGCGGGGCCATCTTCGACTGGCTGCTCAGCCTGTCCGGCGCCTGCAACTACTACACCTGGGCGTCGATCTGCCTGAGCCACATCCGCTTCCGGAGGGGCTGGCGCGCGCAGGGCAGGGGCATCGGCGAGCTCCTCTGGAGCAGCCCCTTCGGCGTCTGGGGTTCGTGGGTCGGGCTCTGCACCTGCGTGTTTGCCCTCCTTGCCAACGTGATCCCCGCCATCCTACCCATCAGCGGCAAGCACCATGCGGTCGACATTGTACGAGACAACATCGGACCCATCATGCCGTGGATTTGGTTTCTTGGCTATTTCTTCTGGTCGAAGAGACGAGGCGCTCAGCCCCAGCCCCAGCCCCTTCTGGTTCACCCCATGGAGATGGACATAACGAGCGGAGTCCGGCTGAATGAAGACGTTCCCTTCTCGGGAGAAATGGGCATTGTCGGACAACCAAAGAATGTCCCGATCAGCCAGGTGTAGAGGTTGCCTGGCCTGTTTTGAATTCGCCATAGCGCGCGTTTTTTCTTCATTTTTTTCTCTTTCTTCCACAGCGGCTTTGCTTTGCGATGGTGTTGGTATGCGGGCTTATATGCATGAGTACATGAGGATACCCCCATTGATTTTGAAATGGAAAGACTTCAAAGAAAGGGTCGAAGGGGTCGAAGGCGAAGGGGAAGGCGAAGGGGAAGGCGAAGGGGCGTGGCTGATCACGCACCAGTACTATGAGCGCTATCTCCATGGCGGGAGGGATGGGAAAGGCCGGTCTGTCGAGTCTGGAGTTGTGAAAAGCAACGGGCAATGGGCAATGACACGAGTCTCACATGAGGGGACCGACCATAGATAGGGCAACTCTATGATGAGCTGGCGACCGGGACAGTGATAGAATTTGCTCAAGGATATCGAGTTACAAGCCGTGTCCCCAGTGGCATTCAATTCAGCATGCTCTTAATCGTGTCACCCCTTGACGCCGCGCTTGAACGTAAAAAGTCGACCCGGTTGACAATGTGGAAAAGACATGGAAAGGGGAAGGGATACAAAAGAAAAGAGAAGAAAGAAAGAAGCAAAAAAGCAGTCACTTGGTCAGGTCAGGCCTTCTCAGCCCCCATCCCTCACGGCAAAGGTCACTGACCCGATGAGCCCGTACTGGAAACCGTACTCGAAGGTCGTGGAGGAGGCGCGGGCACAGCCATAGGATGGCCCTGGTCTCTTTGCATAGGCACACCGCCGAAGACGGCCGACTCGCGAGGTACGGTGCCCTGCCCGTCTTCGTCTTCCCGCAGACCGATGGAGGAGGAGGATTGCTCCTGGGCCATCTTACGGTCCAGCTCCTTCAACCGCTCCTTCTCGGCCGGGTCGACCATGTCGTCGTCGTCGCTCCAGAGTGGATCGTCGTCGGCAAGGTCGGGCATGGCCATGCGCTTCCAGAAACGGAGCTCCTGCCTCGCGGCCCGCTCGTCGACGCGCCTCTCCCATTTATCCTTGTCCTCGTCGTACCTGCGGCGGAACTCGCGGAGCAGGCCGTTCGCCTTGGTGGCGCGGCCCTGCATCTCCCAGATCTGCTCCCGGAGCCGGCTGTTCTCGGCGCGGGCTTCGGCCAGTTGGCGGCGGTAGGACTTGTGCCAGGAGGCGACGTCGGCGACCTGCTTGGCCTTGTAGTCGTGGAACTGCTTCAGCATCGTGTTCATGGCCGTGGCGAATTGGCTGAGCAGTTGCGCGTTGGCGTCTCGGCTGTATTTGGCCTTTTCTAGGGACTCGGAGAGGAGGGAAACGAGGGCGTCGAGGTTCTGTTCTTGGGCTACGAACGAGGATGGTCCCCATGTCAGCGCGATTCTGGACCTCGTTTTTCTTTTTTCGTTCTTTCTTTTCTTGGTTTCCCTTCTTTTGCCAAAACAAAGGCGCGAGGGAAAATCAGTCAAGAGACCCGTGTACGAACCGTTAATGTCTTCCGCCGCGAGGTTGATCAGCTCCTCGTTGCTCAGAGTCTGGACCCGTGCACGGCTTCGCACCCTTCCCAGGCCAGCGACGATGTCTTCGGTTGCTCGTCGGTTTTCCAAGAGTTGGCGACTCAACTCCTCCACCAAGCCGTAGATATAGTTAAGCTCGGCCTGCTGAGCAGCGGGAGTAGCAAGGCCCATGCCCATGTTACTGGAGATGCCTCCCCCGCCGTTCATTCCGTTCATGAAGATTGATTTGTTTTCGAAACTATAAACTGTGTTGCTGGTTGTTGTTGGTTTTGTCGTTGGGTTTTTTTCGATGTCGTGGTGATTATTCTTTTGGTTGCTGTCGACCTAGAAGGGATGCTGACAGCGAAAGGCCAAAAGTGAAGTATTCCGAAATACGAAGTACGTCGCACACCTGAGGTGGATGGAGATGTGGAGAGGACGTCTACCTAGTACAGTGTCACTTCGTCGAGTGGTGCATGTGGGTTCGCACAGTGCCTACACGTACCTGTAATCTAGACGAAATAAACGAAGCGATTCTAGCATTTTCCCACCAAGATGTAGGGTACCCGTGCCACGCCCCATTTAAAACTTGGTTCGTTGGAACTCACCAGTTATTAACTGGTGCTGGACAGTCTAAGCGCCAGGACAGTTACATCGCCACTTACTTCTCTACCCGCCAAAACTCAAGTAATGACTACTATATTTTTACTATTAAGTGAAATACTAGTAAAGTAGCTATATAGAAAATTTTAGCTAAATCGCTTTAGTTTTAGCGGGTAGAGAAGCAAGTGGCGATATGACTGTCCTGGCCGTATAACTATCCAGCACCAGCTTATAGCTGGTAAGTGCTAAACGAACCAAAATAAGTGGGGCATGGCACGGGTAGGACCTACCGGTAAGTCGGCCAAAGTTACGCAAGCCGCGGGCGCCTTCGGCGCCCGCCACTTCCACCTGCCTAGGACCAAAACGTCTGAGCCCGCTGAGATAAGGGCGTGGCAACGAGTGCGACGTAATTCCTTCGCGGCACCGCGTCAGAAACGCGTCTCACCCACTGCCCCACGCGACTAACGCAACAACATTCCATCATCTGCCTTCTGCAAAGAGGCTCATTCAGGTACCTTATTCCATGTACCTTAGGTACCGTACCTGGAACCTTGCATAAGGCACCCCAGATACCTGAAGATACCTTAAGGTACCTTATATATTACCTCCTTGTAAAGCCAATTTCTACTCAACTTATCATCCTCTTGCTCACAGGAGAGGCCTGGACTACACTTACACGATGGGAGAAGTCATCCAACAGTTTGCATCTCCCTCGTCTTGTTTCTAAGAACCTCGACGCCTTCAATTCGCAGGATTCCGCCCGCTCTCTCGAAGACAATAAGCCCTGGAAGATTAAACAACAACACGTGTCTCGCGCTTCGTAGCCTCCATCACAATGTCGGGCAAAAGCAACTCATCACTGCATTTATACTCCCCGGATGCGGCTTTGGTCCGTGGCCGCGATGCCTACGCATCGGGACGACACAAGAAGGCCATCGAATACTTCACCTCCATCATCAACTCGTGCGACTGCAACCGCCGCGACCGCCCCAGGATGTGCCGCTGCAAGGACTTTGAGAGGGTTGCCCAGGCAGGGACCTCTATTTTCCACGAGGCCATGTATAACTGCAGGTGCAATGTGTCTTTGAAGTGGGACAAGTGTCATGATCCCTATCACATTCGTGCCCTCGACTACCGCGCTGCCGTCTTCGAAAAGGAAGACCTCCACCTTGCCAAACGAGATGCTGAGTGGCTTTTACAGACAGCTCCTCGTGCCCTCGAGGCGAGTTCCCGCCCCTTTCCCCAGCAACAACATCGTAGCATGCTAGGCAGGTCACAGGTCGTACTGACTTATCGTGCTTAGGGTTACCTTCGTCTGGGGAAGATCTACCGAATGGAGAAGAAGCCCAAAGTCGCCCTGGCCATCTGGAATGCTGGTATTGAAGTCGGTCGCAAGGAAGGCCTTGGAGGCAGCCGGAAGATCAAGGTCAGCCACCTATGGTCTATCTATCACCGACATGTCGTAGATGGTTTTGGTCCGTCACTAACGTACCCTGGCAGCAACTTTATGAAGTGAGGCAGCCGTTGCGAATGCACTATGTCCGAGTGGATCCCATGACACTCCCTGTCGAACTGGTTGAACATATCTTCTCTTACTTCCAACTCACAGACCTCTGGTACGTCCGCCTTTTTATTTTTATTTTATTTTTATTTATTTTTATTACTTTTCTTCAAATCAGCCCTTGCGAGTTCCCGGCTCCTCCTCTGCTGACCCTTACGGCAGCCGTGTCCAAGGCGTGTGCAAGCGATGGGACTACTTCTTCGACTCTCGACCATGCATCTGGAAACACATCGAGTTCCCCGCCGGATTAAAGAGAGCACCTCCCTCATCCTGGACCAAGACGCTGGCCAACAGGATGCGCGGCGCTGCCAAAAGCCTAGTCATACCGAGTCCCGTCCAGGAGAGGCTCCGAGAGACCCAGTGGCTTCAACTTGCCGATGCCGCGAAACAGGCGAGGCGCCTGGAGTTGGACTTCCGCCACGGGCCCATGCCAAAGCTGCCATCCAATCGCCAGTTCCCCAGTCGGCTCTCGTCGCTGAAAATCATCTTCTCCGAGAGTAGGGGTCCTCGTTATTTCGACCTGTTCCTGGACCAGGAAGAGAACGACTTCTTGCGTGGCATCCTTGAACGCTGCAACTACAACCTCGAATCCCTCTGGCTGGGACATGCGCGAGTACCATGGTTGTTCCAGGACCTGCCCCCGGCTCTGCCCCGGCTCAGGTATCTACGTATAAGTCGAAAACAAGACGCTTCTCTTATCTCCCTGGTATGTTCTCCTCCCTCCCTGTCCCCGTCCCGAGCCGTTTTCCTTTGGCGATAGGGGGGCGTAGCAAACTAACAAACCACCACTACCAAGCCTTCATTAGCTGCCGCCACCCCTCGTCTTGAGCAGCTCTACCTGGACGGGCCTTGCTCTATCGAATGCACCCTCGACGAAACTCCTTCATGTCCAGGCGCATGGTCCGATTTGAGGGTGGTCATAGCCGAATGTGAGGTATCCTCCTGGTTTGATTTAGGGTGGGCGAGCAACAGCCCAATGAACCCCGAAAAAATCCGCGTGCTCGAATCTCGCTCCGGCATGTTGGGATTCAGGGACGGTCTCGGCATGACTGTAGGCGCCCTCAGCAGCGTTGGCCAGTTTCTCCGGAAGTCTATGGATTCCCTGGAGCGGTATTGGCTCGAGGCGGCGACCCCCGATTTCCTTTCGCAGGAGAGGCTTCAGGATCCCCTCGTCACCGGCAAGCTCTACGAACTGGGACTTGCCTTCCCCGACACTGATCGTGACGACACCATGTGGGGAGAAGATCCTCTCCCGGCCCAGGCCTTTCTCCAAAGGCTTCCGTGGTTATACGGTGGGCCAGGCGTCCGGATGCTTGGCCTCTTCGACTTCAACCTCGACTCCGGGCTCACCATACCCGACTCCCTCCAGCCTCCCGGAGAGGATCGCCCCAAAGTCGAAAAAGATCAGGCCGCCGTTCTCGTCGCCTTTATTGAGTCTTTTCCGCGGTTGGAGACCCTGGTGCTTGGATCCAAGTTCTGCGAGGCCAGGGAGGTCGCCGCCCTGACCGAGGCCGTGGTTAATCGGGGTAAGATCAAAAAAATCTACCTGCGGGGCGTGACAGGCCAGTTGTTTCTCGATATCCGGGAACTGGCCGCCATGAAGGGAGCCGAGGTCATGGTTTGGCAGCGCAAAATTCCTTGGCCTTACCCGCTTAAGCCGCATCCCGATGGCCTCTAATGACGAAAGGGGGGAGGAG